TTCTCCGTTTGTTTGTCACTTTGTTACGTTAACAAGTACAATGGTTAGGAAAACTGAAACACGTGTAAAAAACCCCACAATTGGTTGAAAAAAACCCAACTGATTCGACTCATTATTGTTTATCTCTAGCTTTTGATTGTACTCGAAACAGTCTAATATTCAGTTTTAAAAAATGTTTATGATTTTAAAATATCTTTTTACTTAAAAAAAAACCTGGAGTCAAAACGTCCCCAGAGTCGATTCTATTAATGTTTTTTATTCTTTTTATCAACTTTGCACAATATCCCTCACCCCCCTTCCCTTCTTTTTCAACATTGCAAATAAAATTCTGGAGACTGGAGACATGCTGGCTGAGTACTGCTTCCGGGTCAACGACAATGTGAACTGCGAAGAAGCGAAACCGAAAATCCAATGTGTTTTTGTTTACGCTTGCAAGTTCATCGTTGAATTAAGAATTTTTTACCTGTCACTGTCCCAAGTAGAGACGGGCTCTCTACTTCTGCGAGTCCCAGGAATTGTCAAGGTACACAAGTCAATTAATTTTAAATTGGGTAGAAAAATGTGTCGAGATTCAGAGATGGAATTGGAATGGGCCTGACTCAAATAATGACAGTCTGACAGGGAGTGGAGGGCGAATTAGAAAAGTATCACTCTCACTCTGTCACTGAGTCACTGTACTATAAAATAGGCTCTAATTGTACATTTTTGGGCGATTGTTAAGATTCCCGTGTTTAATTCCGATGTGCGTTTTTCATACCCTCAGGCATATTTCGCTTGGCTTTCATTTCGCTTTGGTCCCTAACCCTAGGTTAGGGTTAGGGCTAGGGTTAGGCCTTAGGGTTAGGGCCAGGGAAGTGGCTATTCTCATCCGGGGTGAGAATAGAAAAACGATCTACCTCTCACCCCGGGTGAGAATTGCCAGCGTAGGCTATTCTCACCCGGTGCGAAACAAGACCTGCTTTTCCTCATTTTGGAATACTGTCTATCAGTGTGGATGATCCAATTGATAAAAGCCAAGAAAAAATTACGTTATAGCACAAAAGTAAGCTAATTTGATCGTCTTCAAAGATGCTATGGCTATTTCACTTTTCGAATTGAGCCGAACTACGCGGGTCGCCATTTTGTTTTGCCCGGAAGTTCTCGCAAGATCTACTCCTCCCCTATCTCTCTCTCTCTGTCTCTTTCTGAATACTGTCTATCGGTGTGGACGATCAAATTGACCAAAACAAAGTTAAAAAATGATGTTAAAACACAAAAGTAAATTAATTTGGTTGTCTACAAAGATGCTACAGCTATTTAACTTTTCGAATCGAGCCGAACTACGCGGGTCGCCATTTTGTTTTGACCGGAAGTTCTCGCGCTACTCCTCTCTCTCTATCTTTCTCTCTCTCCACTGCCCACAGACAAAATTGTACGCTTTTAGTAGGCTAGGTTACAGTTGTAATGGAACGTTTGTTCACGGCACAGAATTCTACAATGTTTCTGTTATCGCAGTGTAGAATTCTGTGGTTTAGGGTGAACGCAAAATTTGTTGGCCTAGATCTAGGCTATAACGGTGAACGCGCACCGGGTGAGAATAGCCAAAAGACTCGCCTGCACTATTCTCATCCCGGGTGAGAATAGAGGTGGCCTAGGGCCAGGGTTAGGGTTAGGGACCAAAGCGAAATATGCCTGAGGGTATGAAAAACGCACAGCGGAATTAAACGCGGTAATCTTAACAATCGCCCATTTTTGCGTATAGGCATAGATACTTCGGGGAAGGACTTCTGTAACGAGCGACCACCCCATCAAACACAATAAGTAGGTACCAGAGACTAAATTTTCAAACTAGCTGTATGCCAAATTTATCTGTTCCATTTGAAAGGCCTATATCCACTGAGCATTTTGGTACCATTCTTTAACATCTCCGTCAATTTTAAAGAAAATTGTAGTTGTTTAAAATTTGATCATATTTGTTAAAGTCAGTCACTGGCTGCAACCCCGCCATGTTTGACAGACAATAAAAAAAATACCAAGTGCACTAAACATCTCCACATTAACAGAGTACAATCACTATAACAAATATATGGAGCCTAATTTTTTTCAAGACTGTGAGATCTTTACAAATCAGTATTTTATCGCCTCAAACACGATGATCTGTCGTTATTTCGACAAAAACACCGACCGTTGACCCGGCCGGCGCTGCACCGGCCCCCGTGGCGAGCGAGTCGGCTTATACTGTAGTGTACCCCGCGTGCGGGGTCAGATGCTTTCCGAGTCTCGCGGAAGGATTGATGAAAAATAATTCCAAGTTAATTACCTTATTCTAGTATAGGAAATGAACTGATCTTTTAATTTTAAGTGATACCTGTTATAAGTCGGTATTATACATTTTTTTTGTAAAAAGGGATCTTTAAACATTTTGACGGTATTTTTAAAAGCTTTCTATAAAGACGCCAAAGGCTAAACTTATATCACGGGAAAGCCCGTAAAGCTCTACTGTTCTTTGCCAATGAAAAGACGGTATTTAATCATCCCATCGTTCCGCGAAGCATTTAAATGCACGCGTGTCAATTTTTCAACCGGCCGACCTCGCATTCCGACCGCGAGGGGCTTCGCTTTCGTCGGCGATTCTCCAGCTCCTACTAATCGGACATATAAACAACTTACACCATTGTAACGAGGAAAAGCTGAACTTTTACAAGGTGTACGGCATTTGGTGTTTTATAGCGAGAGAGCAAAGAAACAGTGATCGGAATTACCCCGATTTTACCGATACCACGCGGTCGGAAGGCCGCGAGTGCCCGCGACGCCGTGTT